AATGGCATTTGCAGGAGACACTGTCCTTTGTGGCAGTTTCCTACCTGAAAACTCGTAGCAGAAGCGAAGGAAACATTTCAAGTATTTGGGAGGAAATAAAGGATAAATCTTGAATGCCAAGGTGAGATTCTTTAGATCTGAAGGACATCAAGTTGGGTGAGTGAGGATGGGCCTCCCCGGCAAGCCCACGTGCTGTCACTGTGGTACGGTCATTGGGTTTGCACGTCCCATGATGATTGGCAAAGGTTAGCTTCTCATTCAGGCCCACCTCTTAGGGGTGGGGTTGTCTGCGTGGACACATCATGTGTCCTTTCCCTCACCTTGCCATCGGTTTTATCCTTCATCCTTCTTGGTGCTTGAGACTTATTCTAGACCTCACACTCAGGTTTCTTCAGGTTTCAAGGTTTGAAGACCATGTGCTCCGAGCTGAACCTACTCCTTTGGGCGAGAATGTTCAAGTCTGATGTCACCCCCGCCCCCCTCAGCGGCTGCTCCAGGCTGGGTATTGGTGGCCTGCTCCTTGAGGGACAGGGGAAGTGTCAGTTCTGAGTGTGGTAAAGAAAGAGAGACCCCAGGGCTGAGCTGCCTTGGGTAGGGCTGGGTGCAGTGGCTGATGCCTATAATCCCGGTACCTTGGGAACCCGAGGTGAGAGGATTGCCTGAGCCCATGAGCAATTGGCAGGACCTCATCTCTACAGTAAATTAAAAAATAAGCCAGGCATGGTGGCGCGCACCTGTAGTTCCAGCTACTTGAAAGGCTGAGGTAGAAGGATTGGCTGAGCTTAGCAGATTGAGGCTGCGGTGGCTGTGAACGTGCCACTGCACTCCAGCCTAGGCAAGAGAGTGAGACTCTGACTCAAAAAAAAAGTTGCCTTGGGCAGAGGTGGGCAGGGGGATTCCAGCTGTCTCCCTCTGACCCAGGGTATGACCTGGAGCAAGATACTCACTTGGTCCTCTTTTTGTGAAACTGGAATCGTAGTGTCTGTGGTTCAGGTCTGTGGTGAGGAGTGTATGAGAGAATGTGTGTAAAGGACTTGGCATGCAATAGGCGCCACGGAGATCCCTGTCTCTGATCTGACTTGATACACACAATGTTGGATGAATGCCACACCACTTTTTAATCTGTAATTCTGCTGCTCCATAACTACTATAACTCTGGAGAGCTCAATAGCTTCATGGGTATCAATCTTCTCATCTGTCAAATGGGAACTCAATGCTCACCAGCAGAATTCACGTTGGCATCAGAGGAGACCAATATGGTAGATTTGCTAAGATGTAATTCATATCCCATAAAAATCACCCTTCTAAAGTGTATGATTCATTCAGGGGTTGTTAGTATGTTCACCAAGTTGTGCAGTCATCACCACGAGATAATACCAGAACCTTTCCATCACCCAAAAAGAATCCTGGTGCCTGCCGACAGTCTTTTCCATTCCCCTCCTCCCCATTCTCTGGCAACCACAAACCTACTTTCTGTCTTTATAAATATGTCCGTTCTGGACTTTTCATGTCAATGGGATCATATAACACATGGCCTGTGTGTCTGGCTTCTGTCACTGAGCATAAGGTTTTCAGGGTATACGTGTGTTGCAGCATGGGTCAGAGCTTCACTGGCTTTTCTTTTTCTTTTTTTTTTTTCGAGTTGAAGTCTTTCTGTTGCCCAGGCTGGAGTGCAGTGGCACGCTCACGGCCTCCACAGTTTCCACCTGCTGGGTTCAGGTGATCCTTCCGCCTCAGCCTTCCAAGTAACTGGAACTACAGGAGTGCACTACTATGCCCTGCTAATTTTTTTGATTTATTGTGGAGATGAGGTCTCATCAAGTTGCCCAGGCTGGTGTTGAGTCCCTGAGCTCAGGCAATCCTCTTGCCTCTGCCTTCAAAAGTGCTGGAATTACAAGCTTGAGCCACTGCACCCAGACTTTTTTTCTTTTTTTTGAGTTGGAGTCTCACTCTGTCGCCCAGACTGGAGTGCAGTGGCACACTCATGGCCACCCCAGCATCAAACTGCAGAGCTCAGGTGATCCTTCCATCTCAGCCTTTCAAGTAGCTGGAACTATAGGTACGCACCACCAGATTCGGCTAGAGACGAGGTCTTGCCAAGTTGCCCAGGTTGGTCTCGAACCCCTAGACTCAGGCAGTCCTCTCACCTCAGCCTCCCAAAGTGCTAGGATTATAGGCGTGAGCCACTATGCCTGGCTTCACTGCCTTTTCATGGCTGAATACTACCCATTGTTAGCACCCATCAGATTTTGTTTATCCATTTGCCAGAGGACAGGCTGGGCTGTTTCTATTTGCTGGTTGTTACGAATAACCTCAATAGGATTTTACGGATAACAGATTTTACGGATAGCACAGAACCACTCTACGGTGAGATTTTACTGTCACTTGATACTAAATGGATCTCTTTGTACTGTTAAGGGATGTTGTTTTTGTGCATCAGAAAACTTTTCAGAGGGATGTGTCATTGCAAATTGCTGTCAGTTGGGTTGGGATTTTCTTGCTTTTTTGTGAGCTCTAGTAAGACATAATTAAGCAACAAGTCATCACAATGTATAGTTGAATACAATAAAATCTGATTTAGAAGTGTAATGTAGATTTGGTTATGCTTTAAGTGAAGTCATATCTTGTGTGATTATATAGTGATACACATCTCGAACATGCCCTTAATGTGTAATTTTTTAACACAAACTCAAAATTATCACAAGAGTATCTTATTGTTTATAATTTACTGGAAGCATTTATAGACTATTTGTCATATACAAAGCATTCTGCTTAGTATAATGGGCTTGGGAGCCTTTCTTCTTCACTTGTATAGTTAGTGTTTCTATCCTTTTTGGGGGGGGGAATTGGAGTTGGAGTTTCACTGTGTTGCCCACACTGAAGTGCAGTGGCATGCTCACGGCCACTGCAGCCTCAACCTGCTAGGCTCAGGCGATCCTTCTGCCTCAGCCTTCCAAGTAGCTGGATCTACATGCATGTGCCACCACACCAGCCTGATTTTTTTTAGTGATTGTAGAGACAAGGTCTCACCATGTTGCTGAGGCTGGTCTCAAACCCCTGAGCTCAGGCAATCTTCTTGCCTCTGCCTCCTGAAGTGCTGAGATTCTAGGCGTGAGCCACCATGCCTGGCCAGTGTTTTTATACCTAACAATCTCTTTCCTCCTGTTTTCTTTCTGCTTTTTTTTTTTTTTTTTTTGAGTCGGAGTCTCACCCCGTTACCCAGGCTGGAGTGCGGTGGCACATTCACAGCCACCATAGCCTGGACCTGCTGGTCTCAGGTGATCCTTCTGTCTTAGCCTTTCAAGTAGCTGGAACTACAGGCATTTGCCACCATGCCCAGCTGATTTTTTTAAAATTTATTGTAGAGACGAGGTCTCACCAAGTTGCCCAGGTTGGTCTCAAATCCCTGAGTTCAGGCAATCCTCTCGCCTCCAGCTCCCAAAGTGCTTGGATTACAGGCATGAGCTACTGAGTCTGGCTCTTTCTGCTTTCACTCTGCTCATACTTAGAACTGCCTTTGGTTCCCCTGCCCAAATCATAGGTCTTTAGTGCTGTACTAAGCATAACAGTGCTTAGATTTGTTCCATGAAATAAAATTCAATGATTCAGGCATAAAATGAGTATGCACAAGTATATTTTGCCTCAAGGTGAAGGCAGTGGTTGTGCTTATGATATAGGCTACTGACATTAGGGCCTAAGGTCACCATATGTTGAATTTAGCGTTTAAGGTTCTGTCCTCAAAATCGGAGATGTATTATGCCAGAAGACATTACTTGAGCTAAATGCTATTTAGGATGCTTAGAACCTTTTTAAATTTTCTTAAGAGATAGCTTCTCACTCTGTCACCAGGCTGGAGTGTGGCGACACAATCACAGCTCATTGCAGCCTCAAACTCCTGGACGCAAGAGATTTTTTTTTTTTTTTTTGAGTTGTAGACTCACTCTGTTGCCCAGGCTGGAGTTAAGTGGCACGTTCACAGCCACCACAGCCTCGACCTGCTGGACTCAGACGATCCTTCTGCCTTGGCCTTCTAAGTAGCTAGAGCTACAGGCACATGCCACCATGTCCAGATAATTATTTTTTTGATTTATTGTAGACACGAGGTCTCACCAAGTTGCCCAGGCTGATCTCGAACCCTGGGCTCAGGCAGTCCTCTCACTTCAGCCTCCCAAAGTGTTGGGATTACAAGCGTGAGCCACTGTGTCCAGCAAGAGATCCTCTTGCCTCAGCCTCCCTAGTAGCAGGATTATAGGTGCACACCCCCACATCCAGCTCATTTTTAAATTTTTGGTAGAGACAAGGTTTCCGTATGTTGCCCAAGCTGGTCTCAAACTCCTGGCCTCAAGCGATCCTCCCCCCTGAGCCTCCCAAAGTGTTGGGATTACAGACATGAGCCACTGCACTTGGCCTTGCTTAGAACCCTTTCAAAGCGGGGTTAGCTGGGTGCGGTGGCTCATGCCTGTAATCTCAGCACCTTACAAGGCAAGGGGGAGAGGATTGCTTGAGCCCACGGGTTTGAGACCAGCCTGGGCAACATGGCAAGACCTCGTCTCTACAATAAATAAAAAAAAAAAATTAGCCGGACATGGTGGTGGGTGCCTCTAGTCCCCAGCTACTTGGAAGACTGAGACGGAAGGATCGTCTGAATATATATAGCAGGTCAAGGCTGTGGTGGCCATGAGCGTGCCACTCACTACACTCTAGCTGGGTGACAGAGTGAGACTCCAACTCGAAAAAAAAAAAAGAAAAGAAAGAAAGTGGGGTTAGACACACATGGTGGGGTATGTCAAGTGCAGGGTACTCTCTTCACTAGTAGGAATATAGAGTAAAATGAAACATTATATCTGCCCTCAGAAAGCTTTCAGTCTGGTGGGGAAGAGAGACAAGATGGTGGTCCCAAGATGGTGCACGGGCTGTGAGCTGCCTGACCTGTGAGGGGTGGGCTCCTTGTTAGGGACGTGCACAGCAGCTGACTGACCCTCCAATTCTCTTCCTTCTAGCATGGTAAGACACAAGGATGATGGCTATTCCGAGGAAAAGAACGTGAAGGCCTGTCCCCGAGATTCGGGCTACGACAGCCTCTCCAGCAGGCTCAGCATCCTGGACCGGCTTCTTCACACCCATCCCATCTGGCTGCAACTGAGTCTGAGTGAGGAGGAAGCCATGGAGGCCCTGCAGTCCCAGCCTCCGGGGGTAAGGCTCCGAGCCGCGGGAAGCAAGTGGGGACAGGCGAGGCTGCCACTATCATAAAGAAAAGCTCTGAGAATTCGTTGCCAAAGTTCTTTCTTTTTTTTGAGTTGGAGTTTCACTCTGTTGCCCAGGCTGGAGTGCAGTGGCATGCTCATGGCCACTGCAACCTTGACCTGCTGGGCTTGGACCATCCTTCTGCCTCAGACTCCCAAGTAGCTGGAACCACAGGTGTGCGCCACCACGCCTGGCTGACTTTTTTACTTATTGTTGGGGTCAGCTCTTGCCAAGTTGCCTAGGCTGATCTCTAACCTCTGGGCTTAGCCAATCCTCTCACCTATGCCTCCCGAAGTACTGCACCTGGCTTTCTGTGTTGTCTAATAGAGATCACTCTATGACTTATAGAAGTTCCTTAAAAAATGTTCAATGATTGGTATATTCCAGCCGTGCAATGTGGTAGCTTCTTTTCCCAAGTGGGTCTTTAAATTGACATAGCTTAAAGTAAATAAATTGAGTTCTTCAATCGCCTTTGCCATGTTTTAAGAGCTTACTAGCCACAGGTGACTACCATATTGGATGGTGCAAAATATAGAACATTTTTTTTTTTGAGTTGTGGTCTCACCCTGTCACCCAGACTGGAGTGCCATGGCACAATCACGGTTCACTACAGCTTCGACTTCCTGGGGGGGAAAATCAGGTGATCCTTCCATCTCAACCTCCCAAGTAGCTAGGACTTCAGGTGTGCACCACCACACCTGGCTGATTTTTTTATTTTTTGTAGAGACTAGGGTCTCACTATGTTGCCCAGGTTGGTCTCAAACTCCTGGGCTCAAGCGAGCCTCCTTCCTCTGCCTCCCAAAGTGCTGGGATGATAGGAGTGAGCTGCCGTGCCTAGCCCAGAACATTTTCATCATCACAGAAGCTTCTACTGGGCAGCATTTGTGTGCAATGTCTACTTCCAAACAAAGGATAAATACAATAGATCACAGATAAAATGAGACTTAGAACAACACAACACAAGACAAAAGACGGCCGGGCTAGGTGGCTCAGCCTGTAATCCCAGCGCTTTGGGAGGCTGAGGTAAGTGGATTGCCTGAGCCCGTGGGTTTGAGACTCTCCTGGGCAACTTAGCAAGACCTCATCTCTACAATAAATCAAAAACGAGCCAGGCGTGGTAGCGCGCGCCTATAGTTCCAGCTACTCGGAAGGCTGAGGCGGAAGGATCGCCGGAGCCCAGCAGGTCGAGGCTGCGTTGGCCAGGAGCAGCCACTGCACTCCAGTCTGGGCAACAGAGTGAGACTCCGACTCAAAAACAAAACAAAACAAAACAAAAAAACCAGACAAAAGACAGAAACTACGAAACGAAGAAGCAAGGAGAAAATTCCACCAGTAACTGACTGAGGAGTGTCACAACAGTCAGGCACAAAAACAAATTTGAGTTTCCTAGCAGCCAGAGCCTGTCTGTTCTTCCTTTTTGACGTAGGAGTGAGTCTTTCTTTACTTCTTTTTTTTTTTTTTTTGAGTCAGAGTCGCACTCTGTCGCCCAGGATAGAGTGCAGTGGCATGCTCACGACCACTGCCAACTCTACCTGCTGGGCTTAGGTGATCCTTCCATCTCAGCCTTCCAAGTAGCTGGAACCACAGGCGTGTGCCACCATGCCCAGCTGAGTTTTTTATTTATTGTAGAGACGAGGTCTTGCCAAGTCACCCAGGCTAGTCTTGAACCCTAGGCTCAGGCAATCCTGTCACCTCCACCTCCCAAAGTGCTGGGATGACAGGCTTGAGCCACTGTGCCCCACCTTCTTTACTTCTTGTCAAACATAGACAGGACTAAGACATCTGTCGGGACATGCTCGGACAAGGAGGTCCAGCGCTTGACTGTCTTCGCAAAGAATCCCTCAGCCAACTCACGAAGTCGTTGCCTCTAGTTTTGCTCCCTATAACTGAGAGCTTCTCCCCACCCTCAAGCTTCACTTTCTGCCCGCTTAGTTGTCTGCTCTTGCATTTCTGCAGAACATTCTAAAGAGGGCATTGCCATGTTGGGAGCCGACAGCTCCCTCCCTGCCTGGCTCCCTGTCCTGGGGCAGAGCGTGTCTGCTCCCGTTGAGACCTGCCAGGGCAACAGGCCAGGCAGCCTCTTCTCTCCTCCCACCTGCTTTATCCCTGCCCAGGGCCTCCCTGACCGGATCGAGTGGGCAGAGGGCAGGTGCAACCTGGACCAGGACAGGCAGGCAAGATGAAGTGGGAAAGGCCAGGGCTCGGAGTGTGTGAAGCAGGAGGGTTGGCGAGACTGGCCCTGGCGGCAGGAGTGAGGTGGGCCTTTGGGGGCACCACCCTCAATTCATCTACAGCCTCAGACAGAGGCCCACAAACTGCTTCTGAAGAGAGCGTGAACATTTTCGTCTTTGTAGGCCCTAGGGTCCCCGTCACATCTACTCAGCTCCGCCATGGTCTTGCAGAAGCATCTGTTAACAGCAGGTCAGCAAAGGAGTGTGGCCTTGTTCTGGCACAACTTTAATAACAAAATACAGTTGGCATGATGGCTTTGGCCTCCAGGTCAGACTTCACCAGTCCCCAAAGTAAGGCTGCAGTTCTCCCAAAAATAAGGCCAAGAGGTTGTGTTCCCCCTGCCCCAAGGCTCAGGGAGCCCCTCGCCCATAGAATAGAGTGGCCCTTCCCCTCCGCCAGATGATGGCTACCTCTCCACAGTGAGTGGCATCTCATCAGGATGCTGTTCAGGAAACATCTGCTCTGGTTTTTGGGTGTTGCAAGACTGACTCCCAGACCTGCCACTGGGTGAAGTTTGTGGTTATCTCCCCACAGTGCTGGGAGAAGAGAGAGCTCCAAGGACTTCCCAGCTCACTCTTCACCAGGTCCCCGATTCCCACACATACCTCCTACCTCCTCAACAAAGCATTTTCAGAGCTATTTGGTGGGTATAAGGGAGAAGCTAAGATTAGGTGGGAAGCCGGGCTCGTGGCTCAGCCTGTAATCCCGCGCCTTTGGGAGGCTGAGGTGAGTGGATCGCCTGAGCCTGTGGGTTCGAGACCTGCCTGGGCAGGCGAGACCTCATCTCTACAATAAATAAATAAAAAAATTAGCCGGGCATGGTAGCAAGTGCCTGTAATTCTGGTTACTCGGAAGGCTGAGGTGGAAGGATCCCCGGAGCCCAGCAGGTCGAGGCTGCGGTGGCCGGGAGCGACCACTGCACTCCAGTCTGGGCGACAGAGTGAGATTCCAACTCAAAAAAAAAAAAAAAGATTAGGTGGGAAAAATGAAAGGTAGACACGTAGGCAAGAGGAGGAGTAGAGAGTAAACATATAAATGCAGAGGAAAGAGCTAGTTCAAGAAACAGGTAGGATAGGATAAGATCCTTAGAGAAGGGTCACGTGCCACAGAAGGGAACCAGGACTCTGCCCCCCTGCATACAACAAAGAGCACCATTTCATTCGTGGACGAGGTAGCTTGTGGCTCCTGCAGGTGTGCAGTGCACAGTCTGCACAGTACACAGCACACTCACCGCTGCAGTGATGGGGGCCAGAATCGTGTCCTGAGAAGACCGGCTCTGAGAGTTGGGCTGGCTTAAACCGCGCATCTGAAGACATCATGAACATCTAGAGGGAATTGGTGGGAAGTGAAGTGAGTCGATGACCTCCGTGGTGCCTGGAGTGACCTGAGTACACTCACCCACCTCCCAAGTGGGGCAGCCATTTGTAAGCTCTACAGGGTGCTGCTGTCATGCATCATCTCATATCTCATTTTCCAAGAGAAGAAAGATTCAGATATTTTTTTTTTGAGTTGGAGTCTCACTCTGTCGCCCAGGCTAGAATGCAATGCAATGACATGCTCACAACCATCCCTGCCTCAAACTGCTGGGCTCAGGTGATCATTCTGCCTCAGTCTTCCAAGCAGATGGAACCACAGGCACACGCCACCATACATGGCTAATTTTTTGATTAGTTGCCCAGGCTTGTCTCAAACTCCTGGACTTAGGCAATTCTCTCACCTCTGCCTTCCAAAGTGCAGGAATTACAGGCGTGAGCCACTGCGCCCAGCTAAGATTCAGATTCTAATGTGAAAACTAAAAACTAAACATCTCCGGCTTTTTCCTTGTTGGCAACAAATTTAAGTTCCCATCTTAAATACATCTAGGCAGGGGACTCAAGAAAGCATGGAATTTATTTATTTTAAAAATTGTGTATTCTTAAGCATTTATTTTTTTCGTTTTGTTTATTTATTTAATTATTTATTTTCAAGTCAGAATCTCACTCTGTCACCCAGGCTGGAGTTCAGTGGCATGCTCATGGCCACCGCAGACTCCACCTGCTGGGCTCAAGTGATACTTTTGCCTCAGCCTCCCAAGTAGCTGGGACAACAGGCCCGTGCCACTAAGCATGGCAAAGTTTTTGATTTATTGTAGAGACGAGATCTCACCAATTTCCCAGGTTGGTCTCAGGCAATCCTCTTACCTCAGTCTCCCAAAATGCTGGGATTACAGGCTTGAGAACTACCTCCAGCCTATTCTTACATGTTTAAACTTCAGTCACCTTCAAAGTTCTCTTCGTTTGATGCAATGCACCTATGGAGATGTTTTTCTTTTCTTTTTTTTTTCTTTTTTTGGAATCGGAGTCTCACTCTGTCTCCCAGCCTGGAGTGCAGTGGCATGCTCATGGCCACTGCAGCCCGACCTGCTGGGCTCACATAATCCTTCCGCCTCAGCCTTCCAAGTAGCTAGAACCACCGGCATGTGCCACCACGCCCGGCTAATTTTTTTTATTGTAGAATGGAGGTCTCACCATATTGCTCAGATTGGTCTCAAAGCCCTGAGTCAGGAAATCCTCTCACCTCCACCTCCCAAACTGCTGGGATTATAGGAATGAGTCACCGCGCCCCACCTTGAGATGTTTTTGCTACTGCTCAAAACAGTTTTTAAACTCATCTATTTTGATGCCTTTAGTGCTTCTGCTGTTCTTTGTTTCACCTTTTCCCACATCGGTAAAATGTTTCCCTTTGAGGACTTTTTCCATCTGGGGAAACAAACAAACAAAAAAGTCACGCAGGGTGAGATTGTGAGTAGAGAGGGTGGGGCACGGGGGTCATGCTGTTTTGGGTCCAAAACTGCTGAACACCCAGCGTGGTGTAGGCAGGCGTGCTCATAAATCATTCATCATGAAACAGGCAAACGCATCGAAAGAATCTCAAAAAAAAAAAAAAAATTCACTGAAGCCAAACGCAACCTTTCACAACAAAGCTAGCTGGCACGAGGATGCCGATGGGTTCCTAGAACACTCACCTAGGGGAGAATCCTGTACTACAAGGACCCCACTCCCCAAAAGATAATTCTGGTTTTTGGGGCACCCCTCATTTGAGCTAAATTAACTCCTGAGCTCCCAGTTTACCACCTGCTGTTCAGCTATGTCACCTGTGTCCAGAATTTAGGTGTCATCAGCCAAGATGTGCATCTTCGACCATGGCTGGAGGACAGGTATGGGTGGCCATAGGACAGTCACCACACAGATGCCTCTGCAGACTTGGTGAGCTTAGTTGCAGGGAAGTTAAAAGGGAAAGCAGGGTGCCTGCAGCTCACTCTCTGAGCACCCCTTTCTCTGGCAGTAGAATTTCTTGCATTGAGCCCTGCAGTTCTCAGATAAAGGGGAGTCTTTCATGGACATCAGGTGTGAGAGAGATTGTATGCTCAGGTTCTAACTTTCTAGGTGTTTCCTAAGCTTGACTTTCTTTTCCCGCCGCTAGATCTTCCTGGTTCGTAAATCCACCAAGATGCAGAAGAAAGTCCTCTCCCTTCGCCTGCCCTGTGAGCTTGGAACCCCAGTCAAGGAATTTACCATCAAGGAAAGCTCATATAGTAAGTGGTCATTGATGGTCCTGTTCTGCTGATATGAGGGCCTCAGGACTCCCAGGGGAGTAGACACAGAAGGGGCCTGGGCTTTGAGGCAGACAGACTTGGGTCTGAGTCCTGGTGTTGAGTGACTAAGTGGGTAATCTAGCCCTGGAGCTTTGGTTTTCTCATCTGTATAATAGGGTAATGGTAACCTCTGAGGTCAGTTAAACCATCTACCACTTGGCGTTCGGGAGGGGCCTGATGGAGGTTTGCTTCCTCACCCCCTTCCTGGTTACATGAACATAGATCATGTTTGCTGATGACTAAGTTGCAGGGAAGGCTGTTTTGACAGAACCTTTTACAGGCTCGAACACTAGTGCTTGTGACTGCATGTCTTCATGAATAAATAATCCTTGAGCACACGTGTTCCCTCCAGGCAAGCACCATTCAGTCTTCTATGAAATGCAGCTGATCAGAGGCAGAATTCAGCTTGTTGCCTTTTTTTTTTTTTTTTTTTTTTTTGAGTCAGGGTACCACTCTGTCGCACAGGCTGGAGGGCAGTGACACGATCACAGTTCACCGCAGTCTCAACCTCCTGGGCTCAGGTGATCCTTCACCTTAGCCTCCCAAGTAGCTGGGACAGCAGGCAGGCACCACCACACCTGGCTAATTTTTGTATTTTTTTGTAGAGACAAGATCTCACTATGTTGCCCAGGCTGGTTTTGAACTCCTGGGCTCAAGTGATCCTCCTGTCTCAGCCTCCCAGAGTGCTGGGATTACAGGTGTGAACCACTGCACCCGCCTGACTGATGTTTTGAAGGGGGAGCAGTGTCCATTAGTGTTGGTTTCTTTCTGCTGTTCCGTGGTTGCTGTTCACCTTTTGGTCATTAGAAATGTGAGGTGTCAGGAGGCCACTGTTTTTGTTTTTTTTTAGTTGGAGTCTCACTCTGTCGCCCAGGCTGGAGTACAGGGGCGCGCTCTCTCACAACCACTGCAGCCTCCACCTGCTAGGCTCAGACGATCCTTCTGCCTTGGCTTTCCAAGTAACTGGAACTATAGGTGTGGGCCACCACACCCAGCTCATTTTTTTATTTATTGTAGAGATGAGGTCTTGCCAAGTTGCCCAGGCCAAGTTTTAAATAAAGCAGGGAACACACAATTCTGATGTCCTACCAGCCTCAAGAAGGGACTGGAAGATGGATCTTTTTTTTTTTGAGTAGGAGTCTCGCTCTGTCACTCAGGCTGGAGTGCAGTGGCACGCTCATGGCCACCGCTGCCCTTACCTGCTGGGTTCGGGTGATCCTTCTGTCTCAGTCTTCCAAGTAGCAGGAACTACAGGTGCACCACCACACCAGGTGCACCACCACACCAGGCTTATTTATTATTATTATTATTATTATTTATTGTAGAGACAAGATCTTGTCAAGTTGCCCAGGTTGGTCTTGAACTCCTGGGCTCAGGCAATCCTTTGGCCTTAGCCTCCCAAAGTGCTGCGATGACAGGCGTGAGCCACCATGCCCAGCTCAGAAGATTCATTTCAAACCCACTGTTTTAAAGGTCATAAATCTATAGTCAGTGAATGGATGATGAATCTATATTCAGTGAATTCATAAGTGACTCTGAGTTGGCTTTTGAAAGTCCACAGCCAAGAAGCCACAGATCTAGTTGGTTGTTAAAACCCTCCTGATATTCAAAGTTAACCGTGATAAGTTGGTCTGGAAACCACTTCCAGAAGTCTTCTAGAAGCATGGGCAGTGTGTATGAAAAGCCTCCTTGTTGCTCACAGAGCTCCCTGTGGAGTATGATAAGTCCTTCGTCGCCTCCCTAGTCCTCTCTAGGTGACGTCAAGTGATGGAAAGAGCCAGTTTGTGCAGAGTTTTTGCCTGCACCACAGGCCTGGATCCCACCAGGATGGTTCCTTTGGGCCAGGGCTTGTGTATCTTCTCAACAATTGAGGTGGAGGAAGGATTTGCCATAAAAACATTTAGGTATTTTATCATAACTTCTGGACAATTCAGTTTAGTAAGAAATGCTGTCTCATATTTGTATACATTGCTTTCTATTTAAAAAATTTTAGTTCCCAGGCTGGGTGAAGTGGCTCATATCAGTAATCCTAGATATTTGGGAGGCCAAGGAAGGAGGATCACTTGAGGCCTGGAGTTTGAGACCAGCCTGGGCAACATAGTGAGACCCCATCTCTACAAAAATATAATTTTTAAAAAAATTAGCCAGGAATGATGATGAGTATCTGTAGTCCCAGTTACTTGGGAGACTAGGGCAGGAGGATTGCTTGAGCCCAGGAGTTTGAAGCTGCAGCCATAATCACACCACTGCACCCTGGTCTGGACAACAGAGCAAGACCCTGGCTCAAGAAAATGAAAGAAAAGAAAATTTCAGTTCCCACAACTATCCTTCCAACTTTTTTTTGTTACTTTCTTTTATGCTTTTATATTCATTAGAACTTTGATATAACTACTACTCTTCCGAAACACAAGGAAGGATCTATTTTTTTTTTAAGTTGGAGTCTCACTCTGTTGCTCAGGCTGGAGTGCAGTGGCATGTTCATAGCCACCCCAGCATCAACCTGCTGGGCTCAGGCGATCCTTCCACCTCAGCCTTCCAAGTAGCCGGAACTACTGGCATGGGCTACTACACCCAGCTAATTTTTTTATTTACTGTAGAGACAAAGTCTTACCAAGTTGCTCAGACTGGTCTTGAACCCCTAGGCTCAGGCAATCCGCTCGCCTCAGCCTCCCAAAGTGCTGGGATTACGGGTGTGAGCCACCATGCTTGGCCAAGGAAGGTACTATTATAGTCCATTTTCCAGACAAGAAAACTGAGGCTTAGAGACATTACCTACCCAAATCAGTTCCCTCCAACTTTACAGCAATAAATTGTAGTATGGGTGTGTGTTTGTTGTGTTTCTCTCTCTCTCTGTCTCTCTCTCTCTGTGTGTGTGTGTGTGTGTGTGTGTGTGTGTGTGTGTGTGTCTGTCTGTCTTCTGTCTATGATGGTATATGTATAGGGGTATCGATGTGTTCTGGGTGCTACAGAAATACCAGATAAACAAAATAATTCTATAAAAGTAAAATAAATGGGGGTATGGAGTGAGAAGGAATAAAATGCATCTGATTGAGGACATTTGGGCTGCTGTGGCAGAGTAACATATGAGGAATTAGCTGAGGAGTGAGGGCACCTGGCAGACCCATGAGAATTCAAAGTCAAACCCCTACTGCTCCACTGTCAAGAAGAAGTACAAAGCACCGCGCCATTTTGCCGGAATGCATCTTCTTTGTTGGGAGATGTGCCCACTGGGGCAGGGCTGGGGCGGGGAGGGATGACTCTCCAAGAAACTGGATCTTAGGGTTTTTCACGTTGAACCAATCTGATTTACAAGAACCTTGTCATGGCCTTCCAGCTTCATGTTCTTCTTCCCTGTGCCTTCACCAGAGGTGCCCTGTTTTGGCTGAAAGGATGCCACGCCCTGGGAGGATCAAGGGATCGGGGGAGCAGAGCCTTGGTGTTCCCTACACTCTGTCAAGTGCTGACGGCCTCTCACTGCACACAGATTGGCCCTTTGCCACCTGCCCAACTTTGTGTTCTGAAAATAAAAAAAAAAGGCAGTTGTGCAACTGGAGACTGTCCTGGTCTGTTTACCCAGCACCCGGGCATGTGCTCGGCGTGAGTCAGGGAGGCCCTTCCCGGCTGTCCAGCTGTTTACTGGCTGCTGCTGACATGCATCCTCCCCACAGCTGGTTCTGATAAGCCACCGGTAGTTTGTTTGAGATGCAGGCAGTGTCAGAGGGCTCCTCCTTTCCCAGCGCGCGCTCTGACACACTCAACTTGTTTCTGAAATAAATCTCTCTTTTCCAGCCTTTTCCCTGGAAGGCTCTGGAATCAGTTTTGCGGATTTATTCCGGCTCATTGCCTTCTACTGTATCAGCAGGTAAGGCCTCTTCCTCTCTTCCAGTTTCAAGGACCTGCCTGGGGTGTGCCATACGGTTGGCCTGAGGTTGCTCATGGGACCTGAGAGACTGGCCACTCGGGCGATGTCGGTGGGAGGGTAGCTGCTTAAGTCAAATGTTCTCCAAGTCCCATGTTCCCGGCTTAAGATCAAAATAACTACCTCACCAGATGTAAATTCTCATTCACGTGATTATTTGTTCAGGTTGTTCCCAAGGCTCTTTTCAGCTAGACCCATGAAGCAGGAAACACACACATTTGCATCACCTACAAATACACATGTGTGCAACAGAAAGAGACCAAGGATGCAAACCTGTAACATTTAAGGTTTTGTGATAAAGTTTCTGAAAACTCTGTAAGCAATGGAGTTCATTCTACAAATATGGGTTCCTTAAACCAGCCCTCAAATCTCACGCTCCTGTCCTTCAGGACGACGGGGTGCCCATGTCTCTAACCAAAGTGACTATTTTATTTTATTTGAGTTGGAGTCTCACTCTGTTGCCCAGGCTGGAGTACAGTGTCATGCTCACGGCCACCATAGTCTTGACCTGCTGGGCTCAGGCAATCCTTCTGCCTTAACCTTCCAAGTCACTGGAACCACAGGCGTGTGCCACTATGCCTGGCTAATTTTTTTGCTTTATTGTAGAGATGAGGTCTCACCAAGTTACCCAGGCTGGTCTTGAACCCTTGGACTCAGGCAATCTCGTCTCATCCTCCCAAAGTGCTGGGATTACAGGTGTGAGCCACCCTGCACCCGGCCCCAAAGTGACTATTTTAGCCTACATGAAATTAAGTTCAAAGTCAGGACATTAAGAAGGTGTGACTTGTGGAAGGCTTTCTTTTCTATTAAAAAAAAAATTGTTTTACTTTCTTTCTAGCAGTAACAGTGTTTCAAGCCAAGTGTTCACTCTGTGATTGAGAATCAAAACGCTTGTTTTCTGCAGGCACTGACGTCGCCTCCTATTAGGGGCCAAGCTTGATTTGATCTCCTTTGCTTCTCTGTCCATGGTGGCAGATGCAGCAGGGACAGGGAAATGTGTCCCCAGGGCTGTTCTCCAAGATTGTGTCTCACAGCTGTGACACACTTAGGCTGAGGAGTCTAGTGACGTTGGTTCTTTCTAAGGATAGGTGGTTTCTCAAAGCCGGAGTTAGACGTTCCTGGTGCCTGTTGACGACATTCTGCCAGAGGGCAGGCACTAAGCTCTCTCCCTCCTGGGAGTCTCCAGGCTAGCTGAAGCCACACAATAAATGACCAGAGGAAGGGAAGACATTTTTAGAAGGGCACTTAAACACTGTCCACCAGCAGGAGGAAAGTGAGAACTTCACCTAGAACTGAGCCAGTGCCTTGTGAACACCTCCCAAGTGGACATCACCTGCCTGCCAGGTTCAGGCAGGATCCCTTTGGCTTGTGTCAGGAAATGTGCCACCCAAAGAGGGGAGGCTGGCGCAGAAGCACAGCCCCCAACACATACACACATACACACACACAAGTGTGTGCATGTGCGCCCAGGAAACCACACCTGTCCCGTTCTAAAGTCACCCAGGTAAGAGAAGCAGGTCTAACATGTCAGTGAGAGGTAAAGTGGCCGATGGTTACTCTTCACAGTGTGCTTGTGGGTGATTGTGGTGTTGTCAGGAAAGATTGTTACACCCACAAAGCCCTATCTGGCAGAAATGTAGAAAAGGTATCATCGGTGTTCATAAGAACTCCTGCTGGCCAGGACTCTTGGGTGATATGGAAGGAGATAAAGCATACAAAAACCTTGAAAGTGACAAAGCATGATACCAATACAAGGAACAAAAAAATGCCACCAAGGCACTGTGGCTCATGCCTGTTATCCCAGCACGCTGGGAAGCTGAGGCAGGAGGATTACTTGAGCCCAAGAGTTCCTACAAAAAAATCAAAAAGTTAGCCAGGTGTGGTGGTGCCTGCCTGTAGTCCCAGCTACTTGGGAGGGTAAGGCAGGAGGATCACCTGAATCCAGGAAGTTGAGGCTGCAGTGAGTCATGATTGTGCCACTGCACTCCAGCCTGAGTGACAGAGTGAGACTCAAAAAAGTTAAAAAAAGATTTTTAAAAAAAGAGAAATCCCAATGTTGACATTTTGCAACTAGGAAGGCTCCAGATTCCCCATTTCCCCCCCCCAAATGCAAATATACTTGAGGTTTTTGTTTCTCTCTTTTTATGCAACTCATCTATGTTCTTGGTAATTGATAGTTGATTTGACCCATTCTTACCAAGGTATCTGCAAAATATTTTGGCTAGTTCTTAGTGCATAAGTAAAATCAAATAGGGAAAGTGATTGGATGATCATTCTGGCATTCACTACAGCAGGCCTATGCATAAAGGCATCAAGTGAGAGGATTCATGGCCAATAAGTATAAGATTTACCACCTCAGAGTGTCACCATACAAATAGTACCCACGCCTCACAACCAGTGCCTCACAACTCTCTGTCAATGTGGTTTCATCAGTGTAGTAGAGAAAAAGAAAACTGCCTTTCAAATGTTCTTGTGCTCTAGAATGACCTGGGCTCTTGTTGAAATGCAGAATCTAATTCAGTGGGTCTGGGGCAGTGCCTGACACTTTGCATTTCTAATAAGTTCCTGAGGGATGTGGTTGATGGTACTGGTCCTCGGACCTCACTTTGGGTACCAAGAAGTTAAAGAAAATAATCACGATCTAGGGGTCTTCGATATCTGTACCAGGCACCATGTTTGCATCTTTTCTAATCCTCGTGGAGATCCTATAAGTTAGAACCACGGAGACACCAAGGCAGAGAGTGAGGCACTTGCCCACAGTCATTCAATCAGTGAGTAACAGTCATGGGATTTGAACCCAGGACTGCTTTCATGCCAGAGCTTTTAGATGTCACTGTACTAGACACCTGCTCAGGCCTCAAGGTCCTCCACATCTGGGTCCTGACCTGTACTTCACTTCCAATGCTCTGCGAAGGCGTACTGGCCTCCTCACCTGTCTATGTTGTTGTATACTCGACCCATCACCCTCTAGGTGAGGACATCATGGCTTCCTCCCAGGTGCTGTGTGAGCCCCTCATGGGTCAGAGTGCTTAGTGTAGTTCAATAGCAGTTGCTCAATAATATGGTCCCCTCAACTTTTTTTTCTTTGAGTTGGAGTCTAACTTTGTCACCCAGGCTGGAGTGTAGTGACACACTCATGGCTCACTGCAGCCTCGATCTCTTGGGCTCAGGCAATTCTTCCACCTCAGCCTCCCAAGTAGCTGGGACTAGGGCATGTGCCACCATGCCTAGCTAATTTTTTTTTGTAGAGACTAGGTCTCGCTATGTTCCCACCTTGACCTCTCAAAGTGCTGAGATGACAGGCATGAGACCTCTCTACTTTAGAAATACTACATATAGAGCAAAAACAAAACAAATCTAGACAGTGCCTGTGTTGAAACTCTTGGGCGAAACATTACTAAGGCTATGGCTTTAGTTTGTCTGTTTTGCAGGCTTTGAAATTGGGGCCACTTGCTTTAATATGGAGTGAGTGGGAAGGAAGTGTCCCCATGTGTGTGCACACGCACGTGTGTGTGTGTGTGTGTGTGTGAGCACACACACTGGGTGCACTGGGCTGCACCCTAACTGGCAGAGTGGGAGAGGACTCCTGAATAGCATCTAATTTTCTGGGAGATCAAAGACTAAAAACCATCCATTAGCGAATGACAGGTGTGGCTTCCTGTCATATGCCATTAAGAACAACCCACGCCAACCCTGTGGTGTTTAAGCTCCAGGGACCCGCATTGAGCAAGATAAAAACCTAGACACAGGTTGGTTTGGTAGGACGTGGCTTTTCCCCCAGATTGTCTGAGGAAAGCCATTGTTAACGAAGTCGGTCCAGCTAGACAGCTGTGTATTTACAGTTTCCTTTGGTATTACAGAGTCCTGGCTCCCACTCATCTTCATTTCAGATTGTCAGAAGGGCTGCCACCCCTGCCAGGTCAGGCAACAGCTATTATAGATGCAGCCATCCCCTGCAGGTCAGACAGAGTGGACAAGAAAAGGGCACTCACTACATTTGGGGGACAGGCAAAAGGGTCACGTGGGGCAAAGAGGTGACCTGGACTTGACATCCGGGGGAAGAGATGCCTTCTGACTTTACGTGAGCCACTTAGTTTAACTTTTGTGGCACTAGTAAGTGTCAAAATACTTTTGCTTTGTTCTTTTTTTTTTTTCTTTTTAGCTGGAGTCTCACTCTATTGCCCAGGCTGGAGTGTAGTGACATGCTCACGGCCCCTTCAGCCTTGACCTGCTGGACTCAGGCGATTCTTCTGCCTCAGTCTTCCAAGTAGCTAGAACTACAGGTGCGTGCCAGCACATCTGGCTCATTTTTAAAATTTATTGCAGAGACGAGGTCTCACCAAGTTGCCCAGGCTGGTCTCAAACCCCTAGGCTCAGGCATTCATCTCACCTCAGCCTTCCAAAGTGCTAGGATGACAGGTGTGAGCCACCACACCCATCCTGATCTTTTCATTGACTTACTAATTTTTTTTGAGTTAGTCTTACTCTGTTGCCCAGGCTCAAGTGCAGTGGCATGCTCACAGCCACCCCAGTGTCGACCTGCTGGGCTCTGGTGATCCTTCTGCCTCAGCCTTCCAAGTAGCCAGAAATACAGGTGTGTGCTACCGCGCCTGGCTAATTTTTGATTTTTGTTGTAGAGACGAGATCTCGCCAAGTTGCCCGGGCTGGTCTCGAACCCACTGGCTCAGGCAATCCACTCACCTTGGCCTTCCAAAGTGCTGGGATTACAGGCTGAACCACCAAGCCTGGCCTAATTTACTAATTTGTTATTGTCAACAGCTTCCAGGGTTCCAAAACTCTCCAGTCATCCAGATTTAATCTGGTCCACCCATTCAAGAATGTTGTCCAATCTTACTGTAGATAGCAGATTGTTTGATGTAGTGATCCCCTTATAAATGGAAATTTTTGGGACCTCTCATGATCCTGAAATAGAAACAGAAGCTCCAAGTTTTGTTCTCACTAATGCCATCCATCCAGAGTGGCCTCCAGGCTGTTCTTCAGACATGCCAGACCCTCTCCCACTCCAAGGCCTTTGTATCTGCTGCTTCCTCTGCCTGGAATGTTCTTTCCTCATGGTTTGTGCCCTGGCCACTGTTAGATCTTCAGTCAGACGCCACTTGCTCAGGAAGCCCTGTCTGGTCGACCCTCACACCCCAACCCTCGCTATTCTCCTCCCCTGAGTGGCTTTTATCCTTTCTTTTTTTTTTTTTTCCAAGTCAGAATCTCACTCTGTCACCCAGGCTGGAGTGCGGTGGCCCACTCATGGCCACCACAGCCTCAACCTGCAGGGCTCAGGCTATCCTTCCACCTCAGCCTTCCAATTAGCTGGAACTACAGTTGCGTGCTACCACGTCTGTCTGATTTTTTGATTTACTGTAGAGACGATGCCTCACCAAGTTGCCCAGGCTGGTCTTGAACCCTTGGGCTCAGGCAATCCTCTCGCCGCGGCCTCCCAAATTGTTAGGATTACAAGCTTGAGCCACTGTGCCCAGCCTGTCTTTTCTCCTTGTTTTTTGTTTTTTTGAGTTGGCGTCTCACTCTGTTGCCCAGACTGGAGTGCAGTGGCCACTCCCAGCCACCGCAGCCTCGACCTGCTGGGCTCCTGCGATCCTTCCGCCTCAGCCTTCCAAGTAGCTGGAACTACAGGTGTGTGCTACCACGCCCGACTGATTTTTGATTTACTGTAGAGATGAGGTCTCACCAAGTTGCCCAGGCGGGTCTTGAACCTGCGGGCTCAGGCAATCCACTCACCTCAGCCTCCCAAGGCACGGGATTACAGGCTGAGCCACTGAGCCTGGCCTTTTCTCCTTGTTAGCACTTCCTTCTCATGTATCTTATAAATCGCCTATGTGTGTCTCATCTATTGGTTTCCACTGAAATGAAGTTCCATGCAGGCAGGAGCTTTGGTCTGTGTTGTTTCCAGCTGCCGAAGCAGTGTCTGACACACCACAGATGATCGTAAACATGTGTTGAATAAATGAATGACTAATTCTTCTGTGTAAGACCAATTCCATCACTGGAAAAAAAACAAAAAAACAAAACAACTCCTTTTTGAGTAAGTCATCATTGTTTTTGAATATTCATTCATTCATCCATTCATTCAAAATATACGTTCTCCCTCTCTGCTTCAGGCAAGGTGCTGTGCTTTAGCTCTGTGGGGAGTTCACCAGGGTGTAGAACATGGTGCAATTCTTGCGTATGAACGTGAACCAAAGTTTATAAAGTTCCTCTGCCCTTTCTGAAAAAGCGAGTCCTGGTCCGTGGCTGTGACCGACAGGTCTCTGGTGCTGCTTGGCCCCTCCCTGCTGGACTTGTCTGGCACTCTCCCTGTGATGCATGATTGCCTGTCTGCATGTGGCACCCTCCTGCTTGGGCGCTGGTGTTGCTGATATGAGGTGCCTCAGACTTGCCTTCCTCTTTGAGTTGTGGTCCGGGTTCAGTGGCATCAGCGACTCCTGGGAGGTTGGCAGAAATGCTGAATATACCACCCGGCCCAGGCTTCTGGAATCAGAGTATGTAGTGTCACCAGATACAGGAGACTCATGTGCACATTAAAACTAGAGAGGCTCTGCCTCACACAGGAGATATTCCCCCCAACCCCCACCCCCAGCACACAGTAGACAAGGTGTGGGCGCTAGCTGGGCGACATCACAAGTAAAACCAGCCGTGTGTGAGACAGTGGGCTCATTGATCTGGGTTTAGGATTCTACATTCCTGCCCAGGGAGTTGAGGCCAACCTCAGATGGACACTCAGCAAATGAGTACATAACGTTTTTTTATGTACGCTAGATCTACCCACATGTTCAGCAGTTCTGATGTAAATATCACATACCTTTTAGCCGCCCAGCAGGGACATTTGGTCTTCACAGCAATACCCAAATCACGTGGGTTTTCTCTCAGTTTGTCCCGAGAGTGATAATTAATACATATGGGAATACAAGGGTCCAGTCCTGTCACCAGGAAAGGCAAGTTCTGGTGGGTACAGTAGGGTGTCTACACAGGACGTTTGAGCCAGTTGAAGCTAAAGCATCTCTAGGATGAAAAATGAGTGCAAGAGACATAAACAGGACATGTCATTCTGTTCTTTCTTTTTCTGAAAAATCAGGGATGTTCTGCCATTCACCTTGAAGTTGCCTTATGCCATTTCAACAGCCAAGACTGAGGCTCAACTTGAAGAACTGGCCCAGCTGGGACTAAGTAAGTGGGCACCCCTGCCCAGGTCTATATCACGAATCCATGGAGCAGAAGCCCTGCTGGGCTGGCTGAGGCTGTGGGGCCATGTCAAACACACCTGTGCTCCAAAATCATTTCCATCTTCGTGGCAAAACTCAGCCTTCAGGTCTGTGAGGTCCCTGAGTCACATATTCTGAGATTCTTTCTCCAAGTCCAGTGTTTGGCGAACTCTCAAAGAGACTGGTGGTGAGTTGACCTGAGTAACCCCCAAATCTCCCCAGCTTCTCCCATCAATGAGTTTGGGCTACCCAGAACGTTGAAGTCCCAGACTGTGATGTATCAGTGTCTTCCCTTTCTGTGGCATCTTGCTGTGGATAGGCAGCCCTTGACAGAAAGGAAAATTCGGTGTGTGCATCTCACATGCATGGTTCTTAGTTTGTTTTTGCTGGTTTTTTTGTGGGATTTTGTTTGTTTGTTTGTTTCTTTTTAGAAACAAAGTCTTGTTATTGCCTAGGCTGGTCTTGAACTCCTGGGCTCAAGCAATCCTCTCTCCTCAGCCTTCCAGAGTGCTGGGATCACAGGGATAAGCCACTGTGTCCAGCCAACTTTTAGTTTAGAGGGTCACACCGACGGCAACTCTGTGCTTTGAGGAATTTGGCAGTACAGCCTCCTAGAGTAACAGCTGTCTCACTTCCTCTCTAATTGTTCAATTCCTGTCTCGCTGCTCTGGGCCACATCCCTAACCCTGGCATGGATCCTTGGTCTGGCAGCTGGGCGATTTCATCTCCCTCCTGCCCCTCCTGCCCCTTTGCTGATATCCCCAAAGTCCCCACAGTTGACAATATCTCAAGACTTACAGCTAACACAGTTGAGCTTCTCTGCCCCATATCTAATTCATGTGGGTTTAGCTTTTGCAAAAAGTTTCCTCCTAGACTGAAAAGGGCACTTGGCACCGTGGCTCACACCTGTTATCCTAGTGCTTTGGGAGGCCAAGGTGGGAGGATCGCTTGAGCCCAGAAGTTCAAGACCAACCTGGACAATATGGGAGACCTTGTCTCTACAGGGAAAAAAAATTAACTGGATAGGATGGCATCCACCTGTAAGTCTCAGCTACTCGGGAGGCTAAGGAGAGAGCATCACCTGAGCACAGAAGGTCAAAGCTACGGTGAGCTGTGATTGTGCCACTGCACTCCAGCCTGGGTGATAGAGTGAGACCCCCACCGAGAAAAGGGAAGTTCTCTTGAGATTTCAAGACTTTGTTCTTTAAATAGGGTAATAGCCAGACCGCAGTGTTTGAATGGAAGTCTGTGATTTTGAAGCACAAGTACCAGGATTTCTAGAACCTAAGAAACTATGATACTTGATCCAGCACACACACAAAAAATGAGCTGGTCGTGGCAGCTCACGCCTGTCATTCCAGCACTTTGGGAGGCGGAGGCAAAAGGATTGCCTGAGACCATGGATTGAGACCAGCCTGGGCAACTTGGCAAGACCTCATCTCTACAATAAATCAAAAAATTAGCCGGGCATAGTGGCACACGCCTGTAGTTCCAGCTACTTGGAAGGCTGAGGCGGAAGGATCACCTGAGCCCAGCAGGTCGAGGCTGTGGTGGCCAGGAACGTTCCACTGCACTCCAGCCTGAGTAACAGAGTGAGACTCCACCTCAAAAAAAAAAAGTTTGTATTCCTCCTTTGACATATTTTCTCTTCAGCTAAAGAACTTGTATTGAAGTGGGTGCCATTTCTGAGGGCACCTCCCTCATTCGCAGAGAAGCCTGCCTGGTAGAAGCGTTGAATTCCCTTCTGAAACTTTGATTCCTGCCCATGTGACTGAGGCCTGCCTGATGGGCACCTGGTAGTAGGATTGGGACAAACAATCATAGTCAAAATCTCAGGGCCCTAGAAATGTCCCTACAGAAGACTGAGCATGGTGATCTCCTGAACCCAGCAGGTCAAGGCTGCGGTGGCCACGAGCGTGCAACTGCACTCCAACCTGGCTGACAGAGTGAGACTCCATCTTAAAAAAGAAAAGAAAAGAAAAGAAATGTCCCTGCAGGAAAGCTGCACTTGCTCTTGCCGCTAAGTCCTGCATGTTTTTAGAAAGAGAATACAATACTTCCCAAAGTTAAGTCATTGTCATCCGCTGGAGTCGAGCCCTCCTGAAGATGTGCACCAGGTCTTCATTCTCCCTGCTGACCCCTGACCACTTGCTCGGGTTTGGTGTGCAGTGTGTGCTGCGTGTTGAGACTGAGGGACTGAAGTGTCAGGGACAGCGCTGTGCCATGCCAAGATAAAGGCAAGAATAGCTTGCTCCAGTGGCTGTTCAAATGAGATCTCATGAGCACGTATTGCACTTGTGACGATCTATGTGCACATTATTCATGCTGTGCAGAGATGGCGCCTTTGAAAATTCTTTTCCTCATTTTTTTGTTAATCCGACAAACATTTTTTGAGAGTCTGCTGTATGATGGGCACTGTCACCCACATCAAGGACTCAAAGGTTAATAAGAACTCCCTCACGCTGTCCCTCCCCCACCAGCAAGTTTTATAGTTTATATAGGAGATACACAGACATGGGAACTAAGCGTACTAAGCCTTACAAAAGTCTTGCAGCTGTGACAGTGTAAGTCTAAGAAGGACCCAGATGTATTTCTCCAAGACCTATTGTCTTGATCTATAGAAACCTATAGTGAGTCCCTGTGTGATTTGCTTTTATTTTATTTTATTTTTTGAGTCGAAGTCTCACTCTGTCGTTCAGGCTAAAGTGCAGTGGCACAATCACAGCTCACCACAACCTTGACCTGCTGGGCTCAGGCAATCCTTCCACCTCAGCCTTCCAAGTAGCTAGAATTGCAGGCATGCACCACCATGCCTGGTTAATTTTTCCATTTATTGTGGAGACGTGTTCTTGCCAAGTTGCCTAGAATGGTCTCGAGCCTCTTAGTTCAAGCAATCATCTCGCCTTCACCTCCCAAAGTGCTGGGATTATAGGCGTGAGCCACTGCACTTAGCTCTGTAATTTAAAATCTTCTACACATTTAAAACAATAAAATGACACAGGTTAAATTAATTTTAATAATTTATTTTATTTAAAGCAACATATCCAAAATATTATAATTTCAACATGTAGTCAGTATTAATGAAAGATTTTACATTCTTCTTTGTCATACCACGTGTTTGAAATCTAGTGTGTTTCTTTTTTTGTTTTTGATTTTTTTTTTGAGTTGGAGGCTCACTCTGTGTCCCAGGATGGAGTGCAGTGGCATACTCACGGCCACCACAACCTCGACCTCGACCTGCTGGGTTCAGGCAATCCTTCCACCTCAGCCTTCCAAGTAGCTGGAACTACAGGCATGCACCACCATATCTGGCTCATTTTTTTTGCTTTATTGTAGAGACGAGGTCTCACCAAGTTGCCCAGCCTGGTCTTGAACGCATGTGCTCAGGCAGTCCTCTCACCTCAGCCTCCCAAAGTGCTGGGATTATAGGCATGAGCCACTGCGCCTGGTCTTAGTGTGTTTCTTATACTGACAGCACATCTCAATTCAGGCCCTAAATATTCATCAGAAATATACGATCTGTATTTAAGTTTCATCAAATTCATAGTTGAAAAAGTAGGTCTGCAGGTCCAAGTTCCGAACATAAACTTTCTTTAGTACCTGAACAGTTTAAAATTTAAATCGACTGACATTAAATGAGATTTATTTATTTATTTTGAATTGGTTTCACTCTGTTGCCCAGGCTGGAGTGCAGTGGCATAGTCACGGCTCACCACAGACTCGATCTCCTGAACTTAGGCAATCCTCCCTCCTCAGCCACCCGAGTAGCTGAGACTACAGGCACATGCCACTATGCCTGGCTAATTGTTTGATGTTTTGTAGAGATGAGGTCTTGTTATGCTGCCCAGGCTGGTCTTGAACTCCTGGGCTCAAGACATTCTCCTGCCTCAGCCTCCCAAAGTGCTAGAATGACAAGCATGAGCCACCGTATCTGGAAGAGGTTTAATAGTGAGTTCCTCAGTCTCACCCGCGAAATTTCAAGAGTTCTGTCGTCTCTGGTGGCTGTTGATTCTTGTGTTGGACCACACAGGAGTAGTCAGAGACAGCACAGGAAGGAGAGATGCAGGGAAGACTTCACAAAGCAGGTGACAGGGCTGTCACCATACAGACCAGGCAGAGCCTGGGCTCCTGGCATCAGCCTCTTCTCAACTTCCCCATGACCAATCATGCTGGGCCCATAGAAAGAGGTATTTGAAGCAGATGCAGCAAAGCAGAGCTAGAGAAAGAGAATAACTTATTCCAAATGAAAATTAGGACAGATGGCCTTGATTGCTACCACCACCTCCCTTGATTTGCCTGGAAAGCTGAGACCTATCTGTGAGAGGAGACATGGGCACTGCAGATGCTCTGTTCCCCAGAGCCCTGAATATTGCAGCCATAGGAGGGAGGTTGTAGGATTGGAGGACGGGCCAGACCACAAAGGTATATGGGTGAAATTTCACTGCATGAGTTTGTGGTTTTTGTTTTTGTTTTTAAGAGACAGGGTCTCAACTATGTTGCTCAGTCTGGTCTCAAACTCCTGGGCTCAAGTAATCCCTCTGTCTTGGCCTCCCAAAGTTCTAGGATTACAGGTATGAGCCACCACACCCGGCTTTTTTTTTTTTTTTTTTCTGCTGATGGGACCCATGAGTGTTGTACTTTTCCTGCTCTTGAGGTTTTAATGCTGAATATGTAAAACCCCAAGCAGATTGTGTAACATCCCCCGGGCCCAGCTGCTGGTCCTGCCCAATAAAGGGGGAACTTGAAGGCCCGATTCCTTGGCTGCCCGCTGCCTCCGTGGAGGGCATCCCAGGAGAGGCTAACTGGAAAGGGTGGTGTTCCTTCCTAAGTCGACTTGGGTTCTGAAAAGCAAGTCAGGAGCTCGACAGCCTTTTCCAAGCTTACTTACACTGTAACCATTCCAGTTCTTTTTTTCCTCCCACCTTACCTTTGAAAAGACTGGGCTGGAGTTGTGTGCTGGCCAAGTTGTTTCTCCAGGGCTTTTGAAGGCGACGGGCCCCTGGAGCTTTCCTGTGAACCCACAGCTGGGCCTGGAAGCTTTTCTGCCTTTTCCAGTAAGGAAAGGCAATAAAAACAAAAAGAAAAAAAAGAAAAGAAAGAAAAAGAAAAAAAAAAAAACAACCCCCAAGTTCAATACCCACCTCCCTCCCGCCCTGGCCCAAGGCATGTGTTGTCCTACGGCATGCTTTTTAAAATCTGTGCAGGAATGGTCGGAGTGTACTGTATTTACATTCTTGTGTTCATTGGTAATGACTTTCAGATTTCTGGAGCTCTCCAGCTGACAGCAAACCCCCCAACCCTCCACCTCCCCATGGGCCACTCTCCCCCGACGGTGTCTGCCCTGCCTCCCTGCGTCAGCTCTGCCTTATAAATGGAGTGCATTCTATAAAAACCAGGAAGCCTTCAGAGCTGGAGTGCAGCCAGACCAATGGAGCCCTGTGTTTTATTAATCCCCTTTTCTTGAAAGTGCACAGCCAGGACCTCAGCGGAGGCCCGAAATGGCCGAGCACAAGGACTCCCGACGCGAATGGCACCAAGAGCCCTCGGTCCCCCCCACCCAGGCCCCCACCACCCGCTATTAATAGTCTCCACACAAGCCCTCGGCTGTCCAGGACTGAAACGCAGACGAGCATGCCAGAAACAGTCAACCATAACAAACATGGGAACGTAGCTCCGCCTGGACCGAGACCAACTCCCATCCCTCCACCCCGCCTGAAGAAGCAGGCTTCTTTTCTAGAAGCAGAAGGCGGCGCAAAGACCTTGACCGGTGGCCGGCCCGGCGCGGGCCCGGAGCTGGGTGCAGCTGGCAGGCCAGGTGGGGCCCCGCCTGTGGACGCCCCGGGGGATTGCACAAGGGCCCAGGCGCCCGGCTCTGAATCACAGCCCCCGTGCCATGGAGGCAGGCAGAGGCTGAGCGACATGAGCATTTCCACTTCCTCCTCCGACTCACTGGAGTTCGACCGGAGCATGCCTCTGTTTGGCTACGAGGCAGACACCACTAGCAGCCTGGAGGACGACGAAGGGGAGAGTGACCAGGAGACCATGGCCCCCCCCATCAAGTCCAAGAAGAAGAGGAGCAGCTCGTTTGTGCTGCCCAAGCTTGTCAAGTCGCAGCTTCAGAAGGTCAGTGGGGTCTTCAGCTCCTTCATGACCCCTGAGAAGCGCACCGTCCGCAAGATCGCCGAGCTGTCCCGGGACAAGTGCACCTACTTTGGGTGCCTAGTACAGGACTACGTGAGCTTCCTGCAGGAGAACAAGGAGTGCCACGTGTCCAGCACCGACATGCTGCAGACCATCCGGCAGTTCATGACTCAGGTCAAGAACTACCTGGCTCAGAGTTCCGAGCTGGACCCCCCCATCGAGTCACTCATCCCTGAAGACCAGATAGGTAAGGATTCTTCTCTTCTTTTTTTTCCCTCAAATATAAAGTCTGCTGTAACCTTGTCAGGCGATGCGCCCTATTTGCGTTATTTTGGATGAAGTTTACTCTGAAGTTCAGTGCAACATCAAACTCTTCCCTCTTGCCCGGTGTGAATGGAAATAGCAGCTTTTAAAAGTTGCTCTGCCTGCCAGGCTGCAGGATGTTTTTGGGAATGAGGAACTGGCGCACTGCAGGGTGATTCTGTTCATCGGTGGCATTCGGGCTGTTGGGCCTTTGGAGGGTCCCAGTGGCCACCTGCTGTCACACTGCATGTGTGCGGCATCAGCCGGACGTTTCTGAAAGTGCATCTCTGCGGGCCGTGCGTGTGTGGAAAGAAACTTTCACTGTCTTCTGAGCGGCCGTGAGTGTTTTGTTCCGCTCTGTTTACCAAGTAAATCTTCTACTGAGTGTAACATATGGTTCAGAGAGTGTAGAGATCAGGAGTGCAGTGGGGTGACTTTCCACTAAAAGCCCACCTGGCTGGCCACCTCCAGCCTAGCCCACTGAGTAGAACATGACTGGCATCTAGGGACCCCTGGGACCTCTGTCCTTCCTCAAGGGTAATTGCCCTGCTGGCTTCCTGTCCCGTCAAGTTCCATAAGAGTCAGAGTTTGCAAAAAATGGAAAAGTCGACTTTGGTTTGTGTACCTTTAAAAAAAAGTAACATAGTTTGGAGGTCAGTGCAAGGTGTTTCTCCACAGTCAAAGGAAAAGACTTTCTCTGTAATGTCATTGAAGGACCTAGTTGTTCACAGTTACTTTGGCCAAGGCAAATTGGGATTTGGCAAGCAGTGTTTTTTTCCCCAGGACGAAAGTATTGAAGGGTGTTTTTGTTTGTTTGTTTTTAATTTCAGAAGATGATTGACTCTAAAAGGTTAATTTCAGAGACTTTATTCACTGGGTGGCAGTAGCCAATGGAGGTACCAGACTTTTCCAGGCAGTTAAAAAGCTAAAACTCAATTTTTTTTTTCCGATTGGGTCCATTTGTTGAAAGTAGTAAATATTGTGTGGTCAAGCGCTCTTTCTCTCTTTCTTTCTCTCATCCTCTCCCTCTTTTTCTCCTTTTAGTACATCTCTGCAGCTCTTTGATTTTTCTCACAAAGGAATCAAAGCCTTGTTTGTTTTCTCGTGGTTTGACTGAGACCAGGCTGATCGGGTGTGGTTAGAGCTGGTGTGTTGCTGAAGTAAGTGGCCAGAAGGAATGTGCCCTCGTGGGGTGCCTTCCAATTGAAAAGGGTATCAAGGAGACAGGAGAATATCCACACAGGTGACCTCTTCTCCCTGTCCCGCCAGAACCCCCCAAGGGAGACCAGTTCTGACTTCGTATTCACAGGAACCCCAACCTGCAGGAGAAGCTTCCTCTCGAGGGGCCGGGGAGAGGGGCAGCCAGGCAGTCGCTGATGTCAGGCCTGAGTTATGCGCTGGCGGCGCCAACCAGCCCACAGCCTGGCCTGGCCTTCCTTCCCCACTGATGCTGTAAGCCCCAACCCTAGTGAGTCCCTGGAAGCTCTGCTGCCAGTTTCTTTTGTACTTAAGTTCGGATATGGTACTTGCTGTTAGAGCTTAAGGGCTCACTCATTTTCTCCAAAAGCAGGCTGAAAATTATACACTTTGTTGCTCCAGAAGGATGCAGCTTTTCATGTAAAGCCTAAAGTCATGATGAGAAGGAAGCTGACATCTTTGGAGCCTCGGGTATGAGCCAGGAGCCCCTCTAAACTATTCTGTGGGTCCTCGTCTCACCCCTGTGAAATAGGCACTGGCATCCTGGGTGAGCGGAGGAAGGCAGGGCCGTGCCAGGTGGAGTCATTTGTCCCAAGGCCACACCAGCTAATAACTAGTAGGGGCAGTCCTTGAACTCTGTGGACTCAGAAGCCCAGGTTTGCGAGGTGCTCGCCCTCTACTGCTGCTTGTGTTGATATTTTCTCTTCAATAGTTACAGGGAGTTGTCATCATAGGCCAAACCTTTGCTGAGGTATGGGCATGGTCTCTGGAAGCATTGCCAGAATTTTTTTGTGGGTTTGTTTTTGGGTTTTTTTTTTAACCTTTGCATTAAAGCTGACAGTTCCTCCTGTGGCTTCACCCATGAAAACATGATTCTGCTTTGAAAATTTAGTGGGCTGGGTGCGGTGACTCAAGCCTATAATCCCAGCAATTTGGGAGGCAGAGGTGAGAGAATTGCCAGAGCCCACGGGTTCGAGACCAGCCTGGGCAACAAGGTGAGACCTCATCTCTACAATAAATAAAAAAATTAGCTGGGGGTGGTAGTGCGCGCCTGTAGTTCCAGCTACTTGGAAGGCTGAGGCGGAAGGATCACCTGAGTCCAGCAGGTTGAGGCTGCAGTGGCTGGGAGTGTGCCACTGCACTCCAGCCTGGACGACAGAGTGAGACTCCAACTCAAAAAAAAAAAAGAAGAAAAAGAAAGTGTAGTGGAAATGCTGGACTTTGGAAATGAAGAGGAAGGAGGAAGGTGAGTGGGCACGTCAATCTGAGCAGCTCATCACACACCATCCCCATAGATGTGTGTGACTAAATCAGGTCTCTGACAAGAGCCTGGACATGACCCACTTGTGTATATTTCACATATTCCTCAGTGAAGGGCTCATGAACTTCCTAGGACTTGTTAATACAGTGACGCCTTTGAGACTCATAACTCACTCAAGGTTGCTGTATCTGAGTGGATATTGTTCATGTTTTGCAAACTCAAAAAGAGAGGCCCAGATGTGCAGAGTGATGATGTGCAGTGATATACAGATGTGCAGTGATGTGCAGAGTGACGTGTAGATGTCCTGAGAGATGTGGAGATGTGCAGAGAGATGTGCAGATGTTCAGAGTGACATGCAGCTGTGTGGACTGATGTGCAGAGTGGTGTGCAGATGTGCAGAGTAACGTGCAGAGAAATGTGCAGAGGTGCAGACGGGCAGATCTGCAGAGTAACATGCAAAGGTGCAATTGTGCAGAGCAATATTCAGATGTGCTGATGTGCAAAGTGATGTGCAGAGATGCAGATGTGAGTTGTGAGTGATGTGCAGATGTGCAGAGTGACATATGTAAGTGCAGAGTGACGTGTAAGTGCAGAATGATATGCAGATGTGCAGAGTGATGTGAATAAGTACAGAGTGATGTGCAGTTGTGCAGAGTGCCTTGCAGAAGTGCAGAGTGACATGCAGAAGTACAGCCTGATATCCAGAGGGTTCTGTCCCAGTTAGCAGGGGAATTTGCGCTCCATCCATACCCTTGTCTCAGTGGAGCATTCATTCCTACTGGTCTCGCTTCCTGGGTGGGACACCTGCTAGTCATCACTGTGCATGCTATCCACAGAATCCCAAGCCTCACATTTGCTCTGAACAGGTGTCTACCGATGCTCGCAAAGCTTTCCAAGAATGCCAGCTGTGTTTCTCTGCTTTGAAAAATCTAACCCTGTCTTCATTTCTGAAGGAGATCACTCTGAACCAGGAGGCAGGAATTCTCATGTAAAGCCTGGATTTACAGAAAATTTATCCTGAAGTCAAGGAGATAGGAAGAGACAGTTCACTGGGTCAACCAACGTAGAATTAGAGCAGCCATTCACAGTGAAAATGATCACGTGGATGCGGGTGTGCAAGTGCCTGGTTTCTTTAGTGTATGGATATCTTACTAATCTGTCTTCTTTGGAGAGTGTTTTCACTATGTAACTGTCTTTTTCAGTTTCATAGAGAAAAACCAATAAGAAAAACAAACAGCTCACACCCACTCTCGTTTTGCCCATGTGCTGGTGTCACTATCCTTTCTAACACTTTCTAGACAAGTACAAATGAATCAACATCAAAAATAAAAAACTGCCACTGTAAATTGTTATGTCATATCATGGAGAATTTGCATTTTATTTTTATTTATTTATTTATTTTTAGTTGGAGTCTCACTCTGTCGCCCAGGCTGGAGTGCAGTGGCATGCTTACGGTCACTGCAGCCTCAACTCGCTGGGCTCAGGCGATCCTTCCACCTCAGCTTTCCAAGTAGCTGGAACTACAGGCACACACCACCATGCCTGGCTAATTTTTGATTTATTGTCAAGATGAGATCTCGCCAAGTTGCCCAGGATAGTCTTGAACCCATGGGCTCAGGCAATCCTCTCACCTCAGCCTCCCAAAGTGCTGGGATTATAGTGTGAGCCACCGCACCTGGCCAATTTGCATTTTATTTAGACTACCCTTTAGGGCACTTCTCCCCAATAGTCCTGCCATTCAGAGGTTCTTGACTCAATATTGGTTGCCTGGCAAAGCCTCCTGGTTACCCTCCTTAGATAAGACATGGGTTTGCTCCCATGTGAGCCGGGACTCTATTTATCCCAGGGCCACATACTAGGCTTCCCTCCTGGAAAGCCGCCCATCCACTGTCACCCCTCCAGAGTGGTACATGGAAGAGTAAATGCTTTAACAAAAAGCATACACAGCTTTTGGGCCCTACTCAAACCCCTGGGATCAGTCACCGCATGGACAGTGTGTTATGCTTAGGTCTGGCATCCACGCTGTGAAGTGGAGATGGTGTGACATCACCTGCTACTCCATCGTACGTGCCTCATTGGTGTGTCTTTGCATTGCATCACTCTAGCTTCATTCTTTTGCAGCCAATGGGATAAATCCATCCAGAATTTCTAGTAGAGAAATCTCCATTTCCAGCAGAGAACTTGTTGCAATGCTGTGGTCAGTGTTTTAATTTCGTAGTCAAGGGATGTTTATTTCTGACTTGATGTCAACCTTGGGAAATCCCTCAGTGTTCAAGTTTTGTTTCAAGAAAAACAAAATTTCTCCAACTTCAAAAATACCAGTAGTCCTGAAATTTCTATTTCATTCAAACTACTTACCACAAGCTATCCACAAGGATACAAGACAGCCAACTGTTCATACTTCTAAAAGTCAACAGTGAAAAACACGACAGTGTTGCTTTTCTTTAATTTCTTTAATGTTACAAGCCAAAGTGTGTGTTTAGCAT